GGCCAAGGTCAAGAGACTGAGACCATCCTGGTCAACATGGTGAAACCCTGTCTCTACTAAAAATACAATAATTAGCTGGACATGGTGGCTCGAGCCTGTAGTCCCGGCTACTCAGGAAGCTGAGGCAGGAGAATTGCTTGAACCCGGGAGGCAGAGGTTGCAGTGAGCCGAGATCGCACCATTGCACTCCAGCCTGGGTAACAACAGCGAAACTCTGTCTCAAAAAAAAATAAAAATCAAAATTAAAAAAAAAAAAGCAACTCCCTATCTCCAGACATATGAAAAACAGAAATATGCATTGGTGTGCTATCAAGTAGGACTGTCAAAGTTATTATAATTGTTGTTGTACTTATCAAGTATTTGTTGATCTTTGAAGGAATGATCCTGCCATCTTTTTTGGATTGAAAATGTTGGAAGGATTTTTTTTTTCTGTAGTCTGGCTATTCTTACAAATAAGTTGATTTCGAGGCATCATCAATTTGCAAAAGAGGTCCTTGGCTTGCTTTCTCTTCTTCCTCTTTTGCCTTCTCTTCAGCACATTCTGTTGATTTGGCCAGTGAGCAGACTGAAAAGACTAAAGAGAAGAGGCCTGGAAACCAGAGAGGTGATTACGGCCAAAGCACTGGACAAAGGTGGTTTGGATGTGGCCCACGTTGTCACGAGAGCGGACAGGGAAAAGCGAGCAAGAGGGGGACACTTGCCAATCTGACCATCTCTGGTTGGAAATCTCAGAGATGATATCAGGCCTCCGGTGTTCAGCAGACCTGAAGAGGCTCACCACGTGGAGCACGTTAAGGGCATACCATTACCTAAGGCTGCTTTTTCTACCCATCAGACAATGAATTCACTTTTAAAAACTTGGAGATAAAATTTTACAGAACTAGGGTAAAATGATGACAAATGAGTAAACAATGTGTATCACAGGGTAAATTTTGACTAGACACCCAACTGGCTGAAGATGTTAATAGGTGGTTGGCAAGAACTTTCATTCAAAAAGGTGGGGCGTGAAATGACTCACCCCTGCGAGGGAACTCAGACTCTGCTGAAGCTCAGAAGTTCTGTGGCTGGAATGGAATGAAACAAGGAAAATGCAAATCTCTCTGAGCCTGAAGTTAATAAAGGCACAATTATGATCAGCTATAGAAACAATTCCCAAATCTCTAGTACTGGAGGATCTCTTCTGTCTTCAGAGAGTTTATTTTATACCAAGTTGTGCTCCTAAGCTTTAGACTTAAAAAAGTGAATGCTCATTAAAATGTAAGAATGACTCAGCAATAAAGCTTTTATTCCTCTCCTTATTAGCTCAATGTATATCATTTGAGATCTCACCATGTAACTAGCACTGTGCTAGAAAACTGGGCATAGAAGAATATGGTATCTAAGCCCTTGAGGTGCAGACATACCAGTGGTGGAGAGAGGTGAATTGTTTAATCTTGCCATGGGACTACACCAAATATTGGTATATAGAACTAGGACCTTCTAATAATTAGATTTATCCAACGAAGCTTAATAGGGTTACGGACAAATAAAGAAGGTGGGATATGATACATAAATAGGATTAATTTTTCTAAACAGCTGAATACATAAATACAAAATACATAAATAAATTCAATAATATAAGACTATGAGACAAGTATTATTCTCTGTAGGATAATATATATTATAGGATCATTTCTATTATAGAATAATTTATATATATGCTATGTAGGATATATTTACAGGAGATAGATTCACTGTGGATTAATAAGGTGTGGTTAGGCATGTGTTCTCTTAGCCATTATTTTTTTTAGGAGCCATAACCCTTCCCACACAATTTCACTACCAAATTGATCCTTGTTGTGATAGACCCCTGGATGGATTACATTTGTGTCCATATGTGCCTGTTGTACATTATGTTCTTTAGCCAGGGAAGATCTCCTTGCTGAGGATGTGGCAGGTGGACTACTTGTGGGAAATGCCTGTCACTCTCACTATTTACTTATTCATAATGAAACCAGAGGCTGAAAGTCATATCAGACCTATCAATAAAATGAAAATCTTCCTGGGGATATATACCAGCAGAGGTGGATAACCATTCAAGATAGTATCGTCAGAGTTACAGTAGATGACATCCAAGATTCTTCCCAGATTTAAAATCTGTGATTCTACAACTCAGTTCTTTTAGATGGATTTTAGATTTCAATTTATGAGTCACTATTCTATATAGAGTTTACTGCTTAAATAAAACAAAACTATTTACACTTTTGTCACGTAGTTTTGCCTATTATGAAAATGAAACTGCTGTGATTTGAATATGTCCCCCAAAGTTTATGTGTTGCAGACTTAATCTGCAATCCAACAATGTTGAGAGCTGGGACCTTTAGGAGGTGATTAGGCTCTTCGAGCTCTGCCTTATGAATGAATTAATGCAATTATCAAGAGAGTAGGCTAATTAATACAGGAGTGTGTTCCTGATTAAAAAAAAATGAGTTTGGCCCCTTTCTCTCTTGCCTTCTCTTGACCTTTCATATCTTTCACCATATATGACTCAGCACAAAGGCCCCTACCAAGTGCCAGCACCATGCTGTTGGACTTCTCAGCCTCCAGAACAGTGAGCTAAATAAACTTTATTGTTTATAAATTACCTAGCATGTGGTAGGTCATAGCAGCACAAAATGAACTAGGGTAGATAATGAAGTTCATTTCTGTTTACTCAACAAATAAAATATTGGCAGTGTATCAGTATATTTTTGCCATTTCATAGTCTTCCATTGCTTTATTATGAACTGAGAAGGGACTGTTCTTTGTCCTTGAGCTAATATTTTGTCCTCCTCATCAGTACATGTTCCTGGGAAGAATGAACTAGGAGGTGGAACAATAAAGACCCTGCCATTTTCAGTAAGCCTCCTGTGCCATTAAAGAGAATCCTAAGATACTCTGGTGGGTGGCCAACATTCCGAAACAAAGCAGTAAGACCTAAGCCTGGCCGATCTATTTCTTCTATCCATCCAGGCTCAGTGCGGCTTTATCTATCTATCCCCTTATTATTTTGAACTCCCTAATTGCCTGGGCTCTTTCTCTCCACAAATAGTTTCATGTACTGTATTCAGCATTAACGTAGAGTGACTATGTGGGGATAGCTCCTATTCCTACTTCTAACAGATTAACAGCTAATAAACACCATGCAACACTCTCTTCTCTGAACCTCTTCTTAAAATACAGAGTTTGGTTTGCCAACATTGGTGTATTTAAAGCCTCCAAGATTCCAGGGAAGACTTTAGAAAGTTAACTGTGCAAGTGAGGAAATTTTCCAACACGAAGAGTCAATCAGTGTATCAGCAGTTCATTTGAGAAGAACCTCAGGGTATCCTATAGTTGTTGATAAGAAAAGGATATTTGTTCTCACCTAAAATAAAATTTCTTTCTTCTTGTTATGTAAGACTGAAGAGAACTCTGGAAATATGTTACCAAGAAAGAAGCACAGGCATCAGAAGTTTTATCTCAAAAGGAAAAGCGTATCCATTTCAGGAAGAGATGCAATACCACTCACCTTCCAGTGACTGCAATGAAAAGACTTAGGCCATCTGCTGTTTCCCGTTTTCCTCCCACCTTTCTCATAGTTCCCACACTTCTCCTTCCTCTATTTAGTTACATGAAGCAGCTAGTTTTAAAGAAAAGTCAGAATTTAGAAGCTGTGTTCAAAGCTTCACACAAAGCCCCAGCTGATATTTTGTTTTGAGGGTCTGCATATCAGCAAGAATATGTCTGAGATAACCTTAATAATCATGTGAAAATGATGCATATCAGCACCTCACACGTGTTAGAGACATAGTTAATTGAAGGGTAAAAAAGACAGTGTGCACATAGTCCAATTTATAGAATTTCTAATATAAATGAACCAGAAGCCTTAAAGAAATGTACTTGTAAAATATTGGATACTTCCTGAACTCTGACAGTTTGTGATGGTCAAAGACAAGACTGATTATTAGGTTACCAGAATGTAGATACGTGTTTAGAGAAATGTATTAGTCTTTTTGCCTGAAGTATAATTTCTGAGACCAAGCCCTTTCTTTATCTTCAGGTAGGTGTGTCTTATTGCAGCAGATACCCAAGTCTACTTCATTGCTTACCTCTCCTTTTATTTCTGTTGCCTTACTCATCTCTATTGATTTAAGAAGCCTTTACAGGCCAGGTATGGTGGCTGACGCCTGTAATCCCAGCACTTTGGGAGGCTGAGGTGGGCGGATCACGAGGTCAAGAGATTGAGACCATCCCGGCCAACATGGTGAAACCTCGTCTCTACTAAAAAAATACAAAAATTAGCTGGGCATGGTGGCGCACGCCTGTATTCCCAGCTACTTGGGAGGCTGGGGCAGGAGAATTGCCTGAACCTGGGAGGTAGAGGTTGCAGTGAGCTGAGATCGCGCCACTGCACTCCAGCCTGGCGCCTAGTGACAGAGCAAGACTCTGTCTCAAAAAAAAAGAGAAGGCTTTACAACCACAGCAGTTTGACAGTGCCATTGATTCTGTACATACCCAAGGTGAGGAGTTGACTCTGGGTCAGGCTGTGTCAGTGCACTGTGGCAATGATGTTGATGTTGTTCTGTGATAGATAAACAATCAATGTTACTTTCTGCTCAGTTGTACTCATGATATTAGTGGCCTGGACCTTTAACACTTACCATGCTTTTTTTCCCCCTGCAGACCAAGCCTCCTTTAAAAGAGGGTCAGAATAAAATTCCATCATAGTTATACATTTGCTTTCAAATGATCTGAATTAGATTAATTTGTTATTCCTCTTACAGTCCGGCATCACTGTACCTTGATCTTTTCCAGACTAATTTACCCTGACAGTGATAGCTCTCACTAGCTATGTTTTTATTACGTGTTTGACAAGTAATCTGGATTTACTTGGATAAATTAAATTCTGGATCTTTAGAAAGTCAACTCTGGATCTTTAAAAAGTCAATGTATTTTTTGAGATTATTTATAACCTCCTTTGCTGGCTTTTCTGTCATCAGAACTGGACTTGAAGCCATCATGGAGACTTACGCGTTCTGGAGACCTCCTGTGCGCACACTCACCTTCGAAGACTTCACCACCATGCAGAAGCAGCAAGGTAAAGCCCTGGAGCAAGGCCTCTGCTTAGTGACAGGGCCAGGGACAGAGTGGGAGCTGAACCGAATATAGCATATCTGGCCTCAGGCCAAGATATGGGTTATACCAGTTCTCCTGGAATGAAGAGGACTTAGGAGCTCTGTAAATAACCAAAGCATCACCACTTGTGCAAACAGGCTGGGTCCAGAGGTAGCATTTCATCTGGCACTCAAAATGCTCTCTCCCTTCCTAAGAGTGTGGTTATATATTTATGATAATGATGATATTAATATTGCTAAGCATTCACATAGGCCTTGGTATTTAAAGAGGTCTTCTTAATTACTTCATTTTTTCCTCATGACAGCCTTATCAGTTTTCTTATTCTAGTTTTGTGATGAGGAAAAACTTAGCTCTGGACAATGGGAATAAATTGTATCAGGTCTCACAGTGAAGAGTGGGCTGTTGAAAGTCTATCTGAACCTTGCTACTTGTGTTCTTCCTTTTTTGCTTATCTAAAACAACACCCCTTTCAGTTGGTGGGCTAAATGGACTTTCCCCTTACTGCTTTGAACTTCATGCTTTTTATCCAATTTATAGATTTTCTTTCCTTGTGGCTCAGGTTGGAAAACCTGTGGCCAGATGGGTCATGATTTATTTGAACTCCTTTTCTCAGTCTAGCCTGTGGCTTCCCCAGCCACAGCACCCATCTACCTGGGCACCTGGGTGGAAGCTCCCCAGAGCCAGATGCTGATGGGTTTCCTTCAGCCTCTTGATTGAAGATGATATTTGGTCAGGATTTACAGACTGAGCTCATTTTCTTCTATCCAGTGGCTGCCATTGATGGAAGCCTCACTTTTCAATTTGTGGTTCTGCCATTTGGAAAGCCATTCTAGAACTTGGTAATATATTATATTATATTCCCTTTTCAGGGGAACTTCTAACGTTTTGCACACTGAATTAGGTTTGTAACTTAAATTGTTGAAAGCTGTCAGGTTTAAAGTGAGCATAGTGATCAAAAGCATAGAGTCAGACGAGGTCTAGGCTAGGCTCTCATCACGGATCCTTTCTAGCTTTGTAACCTTGGTCAAGTCCCTCAGCTTTTCTGACACCCCGTTGTATCTTTCACGTTATATGGAAAAATAGAATCAAATAGAATTCTTGAATTAAATGAGATAGTGCATTTAAAATCATAGAAACATTTAATACTACTGGTTTTCATTGTCTTCATCGTCATCATCATCTTCACCTTCAAGGCCCTTATGTCCCTGTAGGTAGACACTTAAGAGGAAGATGTCAGGACCAAGGAATATTGCCTTTCTGATGGTTAATTATTTAAAACGTGATTAGACTATTCTTTTTCACAGGGAGCTGGTGAAGTAAGTGATCCAGAATTTCCATCTCTTTTATATATCCCTCCCTACAAAGCTGTGATTAGAAGCAGAGTCAATGGTTATTCAATGTGTCATCGCAGCTTTGAGGCCCTCATGGATGGCCATTAAAGGCAGAGGCGTGGCCTGGCACAGTGGCTCACACCTATAATCCCAGCACTTTGGGATGCTGAGGCAGGTGGATCACTTGAGGTCAGGAATTCGAGACCAGCCTGGCCAATGTGGTGAAAAGCTGTCTCTACTAAAAATACAAAAATTAGCCAGGCATGGTGGCAGGCGCCTGTAATCCCAGTTATTTGAGAGGCTGAAGCAGAAGAATTGCTTGAACCCGGGAGGTGGAGGTTGCAGTGAGCCGAGATTGCACCATTGCACTCCAGCCTGGTCAACAAGAGTGAAACCTCATCTGAAAATAAAAAAAAAAAAAAAAAAAAAGAAAGGAAAAGAGATAGAGGCTTAAAGGGAGTCAGGAAAATCTAGGCCCTCACCTTTCATGGTAATGAATTCTCTAACTTTGGGGACAATTTACTTCCATGCCTGCATGCCAATTTTTTCACCTACAAAAGAGAGAGATTTTTTTTTTTCAGTGTGAGGAAATTTATATAAACATGCTGAGTAGACAAAAATATGTGATGGATTTGATTTAGTTCTGTGGCGGCTTCTTTGCTTATCTGCCCTTGCTTTACTCATTGCCTTTCCAAGCTCTAGCTAAGCAGGGGTTTGTATCATGGAGGCTGGTCGAAGAAAGTTGGCAGGGATATCACCAGTCCCTGAGGGCAGGCATTAGTGGGGACAATTGTGTTCAATGCTGTGTCCCCAAGGTCTACCACAGGTCCTGGTACCCAGTATGTACCCATGAACAGTGAATGAGATCACTTTCTGGCACTGTGGCTCAGGTGGGCAGAACCACTCCCAGCCTTCATCTTAGACCACATGTCTTTTCTTCATTTGATGAGTGATACCGTCCAGAGACACTGGAACTCTTAGTTCTTAAGGGAAGTGGGAATATAAAAGAGATGGAAATTCTGGATCACTTACTTCACCAGAACCCTCTGAAAAGAAATAGTCTAATCATGTTTTAAATAATTAATCATCAGAAAGGCAGTATGCCTTGATCCTGACACATCTTCCTCTTACATGTCTACCTGCAGGGACGTAAGGGCCTTGAACGTGAAGATGATGATGTGGATATGGATATGGAGTGATCACTGAGGGTGGCCGTCAGGCAGGGACAGACACAGGAAGCCTGCATGGGTTACTTAGCTGTGCAGCATAGTAGGTTTCATGGTACTTATACTAGAAATTTACCAGGATGAAGGGTTATTATTGACATTTTGAAAACAATGGTTTCAGAGAAACTGAACTTTCAAAACACTTCAGTGACCCTCATTTTTATCGGAAGAGGAGAAAGAACTTGAATTGTTGGATACATATGGTGATGGAATAGGGCTAGAGAAAAAGCCAGGACTCTATTAAATAGTTTAATTGGAATATATTTTGAAATATACACTGAAGTTGATCCAGATTCTCATTATTAAAAAATATGTGGCTTGGTTTCTTGACATTAACAAAGGATGTAAAAGCAATGACACCCATTCCCTCTTCCTTTAAGAACTAAGAGTTTCAGTGACTCTGGACGGTATCACTTATAAAATTAAGAGAAGAGACATAGCCATTTGTGCTGAGCTGCTTTATATCTTAGAAGGAATAGAGAGGGATGAACTAGTGGAAACTGCAGTGGTAGCCCCTGTGTTCTACAGTAATTCCCTTTTAATGAAGGGAACTTCATTGAAAGTGTTGTCACCAAACCTAAGATTGGTGTCAAATATTGACTGACTTACCAATTGTCCACATTACCTCATTGTTTCAAGCACATAAATATCTGTCATGTCACATAGCAGTCCTAGACCATTTTGTGGTGCTACTGGTGAGCTGGATCTGTCTTTCTGGCTAGTTGAGGTCAAGGATGCTTTTTTCGTCCTGCCTTGGTTGCCGTCTTTTATTTCTCTTGGCATTAAGACTCATCTGCTGATAAAACTTTGAGGAAAGCACTAGGTAAATTAGCCACAGTTTTGCAAAAATTCAAATCTTTCTATTTTTAAAATCACATTGGATAGAGTGTTTTAAATAGTTGTTTTAGGGAGAAGACTCATCTTCTGCCTTTGACACAAAAAAGTAACTGGGGCATGACAGTCTAGTACAGGGGTGTCCAATGTTTTGGCTTCCTTGGACCACACTGAAAGAAGAAAACTTGTCTTGGGCCACACATGAAGTGCACTAAAACTAATGAGAGCCGAGGAGCTAAAAATTCAGCAAAAAAGAAAAAATCTCTTAATATTTTAAGAAAGTTTACAAATTTGTGCTGAGCTGCATTCAAAGCTATTCTTGGCTGCGCGCAGCCCTTGGGCCATGGATTGGACAAGTCTGGTCTAGCTAATGTAGTTAAGGGGTGGCAGAACTGAGTTGAGTGTACCAAAGCAGATCTATTTGACAGGACAGCTTTCCTTCCACCACATTATTTTTCTTATTCTTTCTTACTACAGCTTTGATTTTCCTCAAAGATTTTAGTTTACTCTTCCTATTGATGGTTTATTGTTCAACAATTTGAGCATTAGCTCTAAATAGGTCAATATATATATATATATATATATTTTATAAATCAAGTATAAGGTCTTCAGATGTCTTCAGTTAGACTCAAGAATATTTATGTGCTTGGAGAGTCTGGAGAGGCTGGAGATTCTGGAGATGAATATTCTGTCTCAGGAATGGCTTCTGCCTGAACATTGCTAGTGACAAGGAGGAAATGAACTATCCAGACAAGCTATGCTTGCAGAAAGTGACTGAGGCAATAAAAACATAGAAGGAAAAGGAAACAAGAGTCCAGGTTAGTTATAGCTATGTGCAGTGCAATCCTGTTGTTCTGATGTATATCCTTGAATAAAATTTGTGCCTCAACTTCCTCATGTATGTAATGGAGCTATTTGTGTGGCCAAAACTGAGAGTTTTATTGGCAGTGACTTCAAGCTATTTAATCACTGTTGTTCTAAAAGGAATCATTCTGGACCAATGACACCAGAACCGTCAAATCTCCATCTGTGGACATGAGGGACATGCCATTTACAGAAGCCCTCCTTTGCCCAAGAGAGTTGGCAGACATCACTACAGAGCTCAGTGCCATTGGGTGTGGCAGTGTTTTTCAGGCAGTTGAAAAGTTACGATTATGAGGGTCTCTATTGGTGACTGAATTTTCACCAGTTTGACTTGTATTAGTTGAGGTTGGTTAGTGAGAGGGTCAGCTACCGACAAAGTTATACAAGTAAGATACTGGGAAAGAAGGACGATTCAGTGGATACGAGCCATTGAACTGTGACGTCACTCTAATGATGAAAACGTAGTCAATTTATACAGATCTCATTCATCACTGAGGTGAGGAATAATGCCCATCCGAACAGCTTACCACTGTATAGTCACTTACAATTTTTTTAAAGCACTCCTTTTTTTAAGCTATAGAGGAACAATATCCCAATTCTGCAACATGGCTTATACTATAAACATGAAGAGCTCCTGATAAGGGGTAAAGAGCATTTCAATTCAATCCCCTAAAACAAACAGTAATTAATGACGTATTTTGTTTTGT